TTTGTGACTGACTTGATGTTTATCTTTCTCCTTGGTAGTATGTAGACTACCTTCCTGCACTATAGATTCAGAGAGTGGTAAAGGTGCTACACAGATACCAGCTCTACTTCTCTCTGTTCAGTGGTTTATGTAGGCATTATCTTGTGTATTGTGTAGGTTTATATTTATAATCTACACACACACAGCATGATCAATAGTATTTTTTTAATTTAAAAAATTTTAAATCATTCCCATAGTAACATGTCTTCATAGACTAAATATTTATGACACAATACAAGGAAAGAAATTTATGAAACAGATATTTAAAAGAAAAAATTCCAAAATATTAAGTCATATTTTCATTTGAATCATGGATATTTTCTGGCAAGTTTGAAAAAAAATGAATAGCTCTATAAGTATTTTACAATGATTTACTCTTTTAGTTATGGACAACTGTTGTAGTCCATCACTGCCTCGAGTCCACAGTCATCAGTTTTATATACAATGGGTTATATGCCAACAAAACTTATTCCCCCTTTTTGTGCTATTATCTCCTATTCATTCTTGTTCAGTAAGGAAACCTGTTTGAACTTTGTTTTCGTTTATTATCTCTGTATGTTGTCTCGTGCAGTAGTGCAGGTAAATTATTTATCTTTTAAATAGCTTACTGGATATTTTTAAACCTTGTGTATGTAAACAGAATAGGTTCAAATAATTATGTCATAAATTTGTTACATATTAAAACTTGCAAAAACTCAGAATTGCATACTCATTTACAAGAAACACATTGAATTTGTTATTGTTGGTCACTCAGAGAAAACTAAAATGCTTTCAGCTTAATTTCATCCAGAAATGCTACTTTCAAAGGTATTACATTTGTACACAAAATCTGGCATGACCAGAGTGCTTAACAGATATATCTAATTGAGTCACAATGTATAATTTAACTATATCCATACATTTGGTTGTAAATATTAAGGGATAAGAACTATATTTCTTCTTTATCATGAAATTTTCACTTTCTCTCAATAGACCTCAATTCATGCCAGTTACTGTTTGAGAATCCATTGATTTTGTTATAAAAATGTTCTCATCAAATTTGAAACATAGGTTTAATCTAAAAAGAGGATAAAATCCTATAAAGTGATATGCACTGAAAGTCATGCAGTTCTTTCCCATATTTTGTATTCATTGTAGCTTTAAACAGTCCTTTAAACATTTCAGAGGGAAGACAGTAAAAAGTACAGGAAACCATTCTCCATGTCAGTAGTGTGGTATGCTTGGCACAAAATTTATTACTTCATACAAATTTGTGAAAAGTTCTGCAATTAAAGTCAATATAAAAAGGCATTTTGTAAATCAATGAAATCTTGGTATAATATATATGGAAACCCCAATAAAGGTGACAAAATTTATTAAGTCTTTCATGAGAATTCTCTATTAAATACCTCCAAGAATATGTACTTTGTTAGGAGAATGTATCAAAACAATGGTTTATGTACTAGAATAAAATACTCATTAAGTGCTTACTTTCTATAAAAGATTCTCACATAGATACTTATTTTCTAGAAAAAATTCTCATCTAAGAACTTAAATTCCCCCAAACTACTACAAATTTGATTAATATAAGACAGCTTTGATAAAGTATCGCACTGTAATTCTGTACGCAGAAAAAGCTGCATTCAAAGAATCAGCATGAAAAAAATTTAAACGAGGCACCATAATGCAGTCAGTATAGAAGAACTAGCACTACATAAAAATATTTATATAGTGTCTTTGTCTATAAACTTGATGTATTCAAGAGCTTAAGACATTTTATTATCTTATCACCTCTAGTCCTTTGGTTATTTTGTGAGCTTTAGGTTTGTTTGTTCAGGTGGAGAGTTCTGGCCTAAGAGTGGATCACATTTTCTCCAACACAGGGCAGATTGACTCCTTCATTTCCTAATTTATGACCTTTTGCTTTATTTCTTTTTAATTTTTATCCTTTGGTTAATTCTACAGCATTATATTTGTGTTATTCCTTTTATTAGAAATTCCTTGGAATTCTCCATCATTCTGATCATCATACAGCCTGAAATGTTTATTATACTAAGTATGAAGTATGTTGAGCCTTGTTCTTCAGGATTTGCATTAATAAGGGATATTTAATTGGTTAAACACACTTCTTATACCTCCTGAAAGAATCATGTGAAATCTCTCTTTATATCCATAGATGTGGAGTATCACCTACATTGGTTTGAGGATGGTGAACCTTGTATATTGCTGTATGGCTGGATGAAGGAGGTGTTATCATAATGAATAATCTTTTTGTATCATCATGGAACTGTTTTACCTATCCATTACAAAATGTTATATACATGAGGGATATAAAATATATTATTTTATAATTTTCAGCCTCAAATATACAGTGTTTATGATACTTCTGTGAGGAATAATTTGTAATGGTAGCCATTCAGATTGAACTCCCTAACCCTGAATTTTGTTTGGTTATGTTTCTTTACATCCAAACCTTTTTGAGAATTCTTCATATTGCTGTCCACAATGGCTTCACCATTTTTCAATCTTAGCAAAATACAGTTATGGTTCTATTTTCTTCTCACCCCTCCACATTTGTTGTAAGTCCTATGCCTTTCTGACTGGGGTATAATAAAATTTCCAGGTTGTTACATATGCAAATCCCTAATTGGAAGAGGGTATGGACATGCTTGAGCTATTTATTGTCAGTTTTATCTATCTTTTAGTGCTCTGTGTTTAAATCAATAATGTGAGTGAAAAGATAAAGATTTCTTCCATTCTATGAAATTCTGTTTTTGTTAGATATTTAGAATTTATTTTTAGATATATCAAGACCCACCTCTGTTTTTTAATTAGTTCTTGGAAAAACAGGGTCCTATTTGAAAGCTTATTACTAGAGCCACATCCTATAGGATGATAAATTAGTTTTTTTTCCTAGGAACTTCAGTTTTCTTTTCTTTCTTTCTTTTTTTTAACTTTAAGACATCACTGTTAAAATATATTAAAAAACTGTACAGGGGGCTGGAGAGATGGCTCAACAATTAAGAGCAACTACTCTTGCAACAGACCTAGATTTAAGTCTCAGCATCCACATGGCTGTTCATCACCATCTGTGACTGCAGTTCTAGGTGATCCACTACCATCTTATGGTTTTGCTGGGTACCACAAGCATATGGTTCATAGACACAAATGCCGGCTAACCACTAATACAAATAAAATGAAAATAATAAAAGCAGATAAAGCTTTACTCTCATGCATCAAAGGATGTGATAGAGTGAAAAAAGTTTCTAGATTAGAAAAAATATTTACAAACTGTATATCAAAAGAGTAAATGTCTAGAGCACATTAAAAAAACTTTTCCAATGAACTAACAAAAAGATAAGTTAAAATGAGCAAACGACTTGGATAAATGTTTATTCAAAAGTATACAAATGACTAGTAAATATGGAAAAAGCTGTTCAGTGTTACTTCTCTTGGAGAAATGAACTCAAAAGTACAATGAAATATCACTATGTATCCATTAGAATGACTAGGACAGAATTCTGAGATTTTCAAAGAAGACAATACACTCCTCAAATTGTTCCTCACAACACAAATAGAAGGAACATTGAAATTTCATTTTATAAGACCATATTAACCCTGAGTAACTTATTGTGATACAGTCCTAATACTCTTCTTGGGATCTTGAAAAGTACCCTCAAAGCCAGCACATTACGTAGGTTCAAAACCCCGTGCCATTGTCCTTGGGTTCTCATCAGCCCTCATTGTTCGCCATGCTCAGAGAGTCCGGTTTTATCCCATGCTTTTTCAGTCACAGTCCAGCTGGCCTTGGTGAGCTCCCAATAGATCAGCTCCACTGTCTCAGTGGGTGGGTGCTCCCCTCGTGGCCCTGACTTCTTTGCTCATGTTCTCCCTCCTTCTGCTCCTCATTGGGACCTTGGGAGCTCAGTCCAGTGCTTCAGTGTGGGTCTCTGTCTCTGTCTCCATCCATCATCACCAGATGAAGGTTCTATGATGATATGCAAGATATTCGTCAGTATTGCTATAGGGAGCCTAGCCAGTTTGGATGTTCACCTTCCTAGATATGGACGGAGGGGGGAGGACCTAGGACTTACCACAGGGCAGGGAACCCTGACTGCTCTTTGGACTGGAGAGGGAGGGGGAGAGGAATGGGGGGAGGGAGAGAAGGGTGGGAGGAGGTGGAGAAGGGTGGGAGGAGGGGGAGAAGGGTGGGAGGAGGGGGAGGGAAATGGGAGGCTGGGAGGAGGAGGAAACTTGTTTTTTTTTTCTCCTTTTCTCAAAAAAAAAGTTAAAAAAAAGTACCCTGTACTTTTAGGGGTGAGTAAGTTTTGGATGAAAGATGATCTAAACCATGAATCAGCTACCCAATCTACTGCCTTCGCTTGTCCTTTATCAATTTGCCCACAGTGCTCTCAGAACTTTATCAGGTCTTAGAAATCAGTCTCTTTCCAGCTCAACACACACAGATGTCAACCCTTCCAAGGTTGTTCCCACTGATGTAATTAGACCATTTGCCGTAAGACTCTTGCATCATTCTTGGATATAGCAGTTCTACCTCTTACTACACACCTGACATTGTACAAATTTTTGGCTGACAGCAGTGTAGCCATGCCTGGTGTCATCTTTACAGCTCATGTTTCTCAAGCTTGTGGCTTGTACAGTAATGATTTCCCATGAGGGTAGAGGCCCTTGACTGATGATTCACACTGATATTGTCTGGAACTGCACATAAAATTTTCTCCCTGCCTCCCACTAATATACCTTATTTCAGCCTGTGGATTTACAGCTTACATTTGTCCTCATTCACTTGGTCTGTCATATTTCCGTCACATAGATTTTTATATAGACCGTAATTTAGAGTATGTCTTTTAGAATAATGCTAATCAAGAACAAATCAAGTTTTATGATGATCTTATGTAATCTTAGAATACAAAAAGAAGTTTGTACCTGGGCACTTGATAAACCATTTTCTTTCATGACAGGAAATCTTGACATTTGAGGATGTGTCAATAGACTTCTCTCAAGATGAGTGGGATTGCCTGGACTTTGCTCAGAGGGCTTTGTACAGGGATGTCATGTTGGAGACCTACAGTAATATGCTCTCTGTCGGTGAGACTTATTCATAATTGTTTTATATAAGTCTAGTTAATAACTATGCCTAAGTTGTCTCCCTGATATTGACAAGCTAATTTAATAAACATTGTGACGTTCATCATGTAGAACATAATATTTCTTGTAACTCTAATTTGTCAATAAATTTCTGACTCCTGGAGATGACACTGATCATTCAAACTTTTATAATATGTTTTACTTTCAGAAACATCATAGTTTATATAGATTTGCAACTTAATGATTTATAATATATTTTAATTTAGATTCATTAAAAATTTCCAAAAGAACTCTAGGTATAAAATATTATCATAAATTATTTTGAATATTTTAAAATATTAGAAGATACTGCTTTTTCTACTACTTTTTCTACTTCCCATGTAGAGTAGATCTATGTATGAAAAGACAAGATCTCCTGAGTAAATTGGGAGCATGGGGACTTTGGGAGAGGGCTGAAGGGGAGGGGAGAGGCAGGCAAGGAAGCAGAGAAAAATGTAGAGCTCAATAAAAATCAATAAAATAAAATAATAAAAAAGATGGTAGCAATTAGGAAATTATATCTTGAATTTTATATTGTATGTGTTCTTATATAATCACTATGGAGATGTATTAGAACCCCATGTGTTTTACTATTATCCCGTGATAAGGTCATATGTCTGTTACAACATGCAGGTATTTCAGTGTCAAAACCAAACCTGATCAGTTCTCTTGAACAAAGCAAAGAGCCCTGGAATGTGAACACTGGAGAGAAAGAAGGCAATGAACAAGGTAAGTTAGAATGAAGCATTGACACTTGTGAGAATTCTAAGACTTGGAGAATTTTGTCCTTGCACTGGGCTTTGCAAAGATCTTTAATGGAAATGAGAAGATTGTTTCATTAGAAAAAAATGATCATAATTTTTTTATGCCACATAGCATAAAGTTTCCATACTTATAAAATGGTGTGCCTTATATATCTGAAAAATTTTCAACTTAGTGTACTAATTCAGATAATTAACTATTTCCTATTTTCCAGTTCTATATTCCCATCAAACACAAGAACAACTTGCACAGGGAAATATACAAGATCCAATCCTGAAGTCTGAAATATCTGTAAGTTTTGACCTAGAAACCTTTCACTTGAGGATATTTTAAAAATTTGGTGATGAGAGCAAAAAGAAAAGGTTGTGTCATACTTGAAATAATCTTTACTCACAAGCCACCCTAGATAAATTTGCCAAAAAAGGTCAAGAATTTCTACCTTATTGTGAATAACATCACATTAGAACTCATACATTTACAGAAGATGTTCCTTTTCTAAAAAAATGCACTTAAAGTTTTAAAACATGTTTTTATCTGCAAAAGTCTGAAAAGTGAATGATAAATATAAATTCTTCTATTAAGAATTCATTAGAGTTCCCACCACTATTAATTATATTTGTGACAAACTAATCAATTTAGATCCACACTGAAAGGTTTTTCTCAATGAAATGAGACTGAAAATGTAGCATAGCATTTCTAGTGGGGAAAAGTCTTACATATAAAGTGATGCTAATAAATTCTTTCTCAAGAACTCTAGGAAGAATAGTTGCCACAACTATCAGTTGAAGGAACAAATGACCCAAAAGTGCACTACAATACATGTTTACTCGGTATTTAAATATATAGTAGGAGGCTGTTTTTTCCTGAAAAGTGAATAGAGATATTTGCTTATAACACACATCTTTTTTCCCTCCTACGTGACCAGAAACAAGAGAAGCATTATATAAACAATATAAATGAAGAGACACAATACGACTATAAGGAATATGAAAAGAGCTTCAACAGATGTTCATGCCCCATTAGTCATAAGATGATTATTTCCAAAGAGAAAGGACAAAAATGTCAAGAATGTGATCAATCATTTTCCCATCATGCAAGTCTTCAAGCTCACCAAAGAATCCATTCTGCTGACAAACTTTACAAATGTCAAGAATGTGGCAAGTCCTTTAGCCGTCATGCAAATCTTCAAGCTCATCACAATATCCATAATGGTGACAAACCTCACAGATGTCAAGAATGTGGCAAGACCTTTAACCAGGTGTCAAATCTTCACAAACATTGCAGAATCCATACTGGTGAGAAACCTTATAGGTGTCAAGAATGTGGCAAGTCCTTTAGCCAGGTCTCAACACTTTACAGACATCACAGAATGCATACTGGTGACAAACCTTATAGGTGTCAAGAATGTGGCAAGTCCTTTACCCGTCATGCAAATCTTCAAACTCATCACAGAATCCATACTGGTGAAAAACCTTACAGGTGTAAAGAATGTGGCAAGACCTTTAACCAGGTGTCAAATCTTCACAAACATTGCAGAATCCATACTGGTGAGAAACCTTACAGATGTCAAGAATGTGACAAGTCCTTTAGCCAGGTCTCAACACTTTACAGACATCACAAAATCCATACTGGAGAGAGACCTCACAGATGTCAAGAATGTGGCAAGTCCTTTAGCCAGGTGTCAACACTTTACAGACATCACAGAATGCATACTGGTGACAAACCTTATAGGTGTCAAGAATGTGGCAAGTCCTTTACCCGTCATGCAAATCTTCAAACTCACCACAGAATCCATACTGGTGAAAAACCTTACAGGTGTAAAGAATGTGGCAAGTCCTTTACCCGTCATGCAAATCTTCAAACTCATCACAGAATTCATACTGAGAAACCTTATAGATGTAAAAAATGCTGCAAGTCCTTTACTATATGCACAAGTCTTAGAAGGCATCAGAAAATTCATGTAATGGGTACACTTTCAAAAACTTCTTAGTTTAACTCACACCAATTCAATTTACCAGTCTTCATACACTGAACAAGCTATTTCACAGACTCATATGCTTCAAATACTTTCCAAGCTTAGTCAATACTTATATGGTGCTAGAGTCCTAATAAATTTAGAAATATTGTGTCCTGGTTTGAATTTTATAATCATGAAACATTCATTGTGAAATAAATTATTTATGCATCATTATTGGGTACATAACCATTTAAGTATCAATTATTATCAATAAAGAAATATCTCTAGTAGGAATGAATTAAGCAATAACATTTCTTGACTGTATGTCAAGATTATGTGTTTAGAAACCATCCAAAATCAAACTATTCCAGATTTTGATGCATATTTTAGATTGGCATATGTTTCTTTAGGTAATGTGATTATATTCTGTATAAATATTATTTTCCTGTAGTTACTTGTGATTTTGGATAAATAACTGATTATTTTGAACTTCAAGTGTTTTCCTTCTTTGCAATAAAAATGTTAACTATTTTAGCCATTTTTTTTTTTGCATTTCTTTGTTCTGATAGTCTATTCTTTAATGTCAGGATAACATTAATGTCAGCAGTTCTGTGGATGACTAGCAACAACAGAAATATGTCATAACAAAGAAGTAGATTTGACCTGGGCATGTATACACTGTGTGAACGTGTATTGCTGTGATTGAAGTAAGAGGAAATAAATGGACAAACCTAGGTAGGAGGTATAGGCGGGACTGCCAGGGAGATAGTGGAAGTAGGAGAAGGAAATAAAGCAAATTGCCACCAGATGGAAAAAGCTGGATGTGTGTTATGTGGCAGAACATAGAACAAAAGTTTATGGCTTAATTAAAGTAGTAAGAGTTAGTTGGAAAGTGGCCTGGGAGTTTTGATCTGACTTGCCCTTGTTCAGCTGTTATGAATCACTTGAGTTTGTAATTACAAATCTCCCACTGTGTTCAAAACCCTGCTTCCTTATAGTCATCCATCTCTTTTGGCTCTTACCATCTTTTATCATTTTGTGCTGAACCATCCCTGACAATCGCCTGGAGGGGATGATATTGCTGTATTTACTATAGGCCCAAAGCACTTCCTTTATTAACCAATGAAAACAACATGATATTGAAAGGACACTTAAAGCAGAACATTTTCTTACTGTTTGAACTATGACTGCAGGTGAGTCTCTCTTTTAGCAGTAAATATGTGCGTGAAATTTCTGTGATGGAGGCTTAGAGATGCAGTAGTTGGTGGTAAAACATAAGACATCAGCAATAATTTTTTTTTTCCTCCAAACCAAGATTTATTGAGCAATTAATATATACGTAGCACTGTCTGTATCAACTACAAAACTGAATCATCACAGAATTTTATGATGTCAGCACTTTCTTTAATATTGTCTTATCAATGAGAAAGCTAAAATTCCTTGAGTATTTGTAATGCGCATGCATCAGGCCTGCAAGGCAATGGTTTATGTTTGTTCAAAACTTACATCATGAAAAGATGACTTGCAGATACCAGAACTGAAGTGATTAATCATGATTATGTTACTGGGTAAATTTTAATCTTCCTATATTAGTATTTCATCAATACTCCACGAATATCTAGTTTGGATCAGGGAGCCGATAAGCATGGATAAAGGAGCAGGTGAAGTGAGCCCAAGTGACAGCTGCACACTGGAGTCTGAGAACTGAACGGCACATGAAGAGCTGAGGAAGGTCTTGTGGGCGGCGTTAGCCATGGCAGGAAGGACAGAGCTGGAAAGACAGCCTACAGGGCAAGGGGGAATTGTGCAGGATGCATGGTACATTTCAATTATGGAGGCTGGAAAGTACATCAAAGGTTGAGGTGAGGAAAACTAATTGAGAGCCTGGTGAGGTTTTACCAAGAGAGTGGTATCATGCCAGCATTCAAACAGAAATATATTTCTAGGGCATAAATTAGGGAAGCATATGAGCCAGGTGTACCGTTTTCAGACTGTACAAAGGTCTGGTACCAACTGAAGGAAACTCAATAGAGCAGGGGAAGGACACGAAGGAAACTTGGAGATTCTCAAGATTCTCCAAGGGGAACAAGAAATCAAAACAACCTTCAGTTTCCACAAAGCAGTGAAGTGGAACCGAGATGACAGAGCTGAGGGTTTCCAGCAGGAGGATGGCCTTCACATTCTCTTGTGGCAACCAGGCAAAGCTACTCTGTAACATAGGACCTCCTACATACACATTCTCTACGCCCGAGTATATGGATAAAGGCCATGCGTGTTAGTCTAAAACATTAAGCTGTTGCATACGAAGGTATTGGAATTCCTAACCTTGGTGAATTACAAAATAATGAGTAACGCATACTTGGAAATCCAGAGAGAGGCATATGATGTAATGCATATTTTAACACAATGCAAATCTGTTCTATTTTAAAAGTTCCCTAAAAAATACTTATCAGAAAAATATAATTAATATATATCACTACCAATGGTGAATTTTCTATAAAAATTGCTGTCGTGCTATCTGTAACTTTGCTTTATATTTTTGTATTTGAATTTTTTTATTTTGATTTGTTTTGTTGCTTTTCTTCTGAGGCAGGGTTTCTCTGTTGGAATGTTTAAAGATTTTGTCCATAACTACTTCCCAGTTATTCTGCTCAGGTTCCCTCTAGTTAGACTGACTTTCTGAAATGATTGTTTTTCTTATTAGTGTCAGTGTCTACCTCATGACATATTTAATGGCTTTTACCAATGCTAAATACTTGATAATCGTAACACTGAGATGTAAATATTTCTTCATTTTTCCTTTGAGGAAAAGAGAGGCTCGGAGTGGATCCAAGAAGTTAACTAATGTCACACAGTGAGAAGTTTGTTTTCCTCCCGACTGTGGCACAAGGCCTTTCCAATGGCATCAACACTGCACACCACTGAGAAAAGCGATGCCATGTGTTTATTAATATTAAAGTGTGTATCACTTCAGAACAGTGCATTTCACATTAATACATCACCAATTACATTAGCAGAACATTCTTTTTTTTTTTTAATTTATTTATTTATTAAGGATTTCTGCCTCGTCCCCACAACCGCTTCCCATTTCCCTCCCCCTCCCCCCGATCAAGTCCCCCCCCCCCTCATCTGCTCGAAGAGCAATCAGGGTTCCCTGACCTGTGGGAAGCCCAAGGACTGCCCACCTCTATCCAGGTCTCGTAAGGTGAGCATTCAAACTGCCTAGGCTCCCACAAAGCCAGTACGTGCAGTAGGATCAAAAACCCACTGCAATTGTTCTTGAATTCTCAGTATTCCTCATTGTCCGCTATGTTCAGCTAGTCCGGATTTATCCCATGCTTTTTCAGACCTAGGCCAGCTGGCCTTGGTGAGATCCCAATAGAACATCCCCATTGTCTTAGTGTGTGGGTGCACCCCTTGTGGTCCTGAGTTCCTTGCTCGTGCTCCGTCTCCTTCTGCTCCTGATTTGGACCTTGAGATTTCTGTCCGGTGCTCCCGTGTGGGTCTCTGCCTCTGTCTCCTTTCATCGCCTGATGAAGGTTAATATTCCTGAGGATGCCTATGTGTTTGTCTTTGGATTCGCCTTATTTAGCTTCTCTAGGAACATGAATTATAAGCTCAATGTCCTTTATTTATGGCTAGAAACCAAATATGAGTGAGTACATCCCATGTTCCTCTTTTTGGGTCTGGCTTACCTCACTCAGGATAGTGTTTTCTATTTCCATCCATTTGTATGCAAAATTCAAGAAGTCCTTGTTTTTTACGGCTGAGTAATACTCTAATATGTATATATTCCATACTTTCTTCATCCATTCTTCCGTTGAAGGGCATCTAGGTTGTTTCCAGGTTCTGGCTATTACAAACAATGCTGCCATGAACATAGTTGAGCATATACTTTTGTTGTATGATAGGGCCTCTCTTGGGTATATTCCCAAGAGTGGTATTGCTGGATCCAGGGGTAGGTTGATCCCGAATTTCCTGAGAAACCGAAACACTGCTTTCCAGAGTGGTTGCACAAGTTTGCATTCCCACCAGCAATGGGTGAGTGTACCCCTTTCTCCACAACCTCTCCAGCAAAGGCTATCATTGGTGTTTTTTATTTTAGCCATTCTGACAGGTGTAAGGTGGTATCTTAAAGTTGTCTTGATTTGCATTTCCCTGATCGCTAAGGAAGTTGAGCATGACCTTAAGTATCTTTTGGCCATTTGAAGTTCTTCTGTTGAGAATTCTCTGTTCAGCTCAGTGCCCCATTTTATAATTGGGTTGATTAGCCTTTTACGGTCTAGTTTCTTGAGTTCTTTATATATTTTGGAGATCAAACCTTTGTCAGTTGCAGGGTTGGTGAAGATCTTCTCCCAGTCAGTGGGTTGTCTTTTTGTCTTAGTGACAGTGTCCTTTGCTTTACAGAAGCTTCTCAGCCTCAGGAAGTCCCATTTATTCAATGATGCCCTTAGTGTCTGTGCTGCTGGGGTTATACATAGGAAGTGGTCTCCTGTGCCCATTTGCTGTAGAGTACTTCCCACTTTCTCTTCTATCAGGTTCAGTGTGTTCGGACTGATATTGAGGTCTTTAATCCATTTGGATTTGAGTTTTGTGCATGGTGATAGATATGGATCTATTTTCATTCTTCTACAGATTGACATCCAGTTTTGCCAGCACCATTTGTTGAAGATGCTCTCTTTTTTCCATTGTATACTTTTAGCTCCTTTATCGAAGATCAGGTGTTCATAGGTTTGTGGGTTAATGTCAGGGTCTTCTATTCGATTCCATTGGTCGACTTCTCTGTTTTTATGCCAATACCAAGCTGTTTTCAATACTGTAGCTCTGTAATAGAGTTTGAAGTCAGGGATGTTAATGCCTCCAGACAATCCTTTATTGTATAAGATTGTTTTGGCTATCCTGGGTTTTTTGTTTTTCCATATAAAGTTAATTATTGTCTTCTCCAGATCTGTGAAGAATTTTGATGGGATTTTGATGGGGATTGCATTGAATCTATAGATTGCTTTTGGTAGAATTGCCATTTTTACTATGTTGATCCTCCCGATCCAAGAGCAAGGGAGGTCTTTCCATTTTCTGGTGTCTTCTTCAATTTCTTTCTTCAAAGACTTATAGTTCTTGTCAAGTAGATCTTTCACTTCCTTGGTCAGGGTTACCCCAAGGTATTTTATGCTATTTGTGGCTATCGTGAAAGGTGATGCTTCTCTGATTTCCCTCTCTGCTTCCTTATCCTTAGTGTATAGGAAGGCAACTGATTTTTTGGAGTTGATCTTGTATCCTGCCACATTACTAAAGCTGTTTATCAGCTGTAGGAGTTCTTTGGTAGAATTTTTGGGGTCGCTTATGTACACTATCATATCATCTGCAAATAATGAAAGCTTAACTTCTTCCTTTCCAATACGAATCCCCTTGATCTCCTTATGTTGTCTTATTGCTATTGCTAGAATTTCAAGCACTATATTGAAGAGGTATGGAGAGAGTGGACATCCTTGTCGTGTTCCTGATTTTAGTGGGATGGCTTTGAGTTTTTCTCCATTTAATTTAATGTTAGCTGTTGGCTTGCTGTAAATAGCTTTTATTATATTTAGGTAGGACCCTTGTATCCCTATTCTCTCCAAGACCTTTATCATAAAGGGGTGTTGAATTTTGTCGAATGCTTTTTCAGCATCTAGTGAAATGATCATATGGTTTTTTTCTTTCAGTTTATTTATATGGTGGATTACATTGATAGATTTGCGTATGTTGAACCAGCCCTGCATCTCTGGGGATGAAGCCTACTTGATCATAATGGATAATTTTTCTTATGTGTTCTTGGATTCGGTTTGCCAGTATTTTATTGAAAATTTTTGCATCGATGTTCATGAGTGAGATCGGTCTGTAATTCTCTTTCTTGGTTGGGTCTTTTTGTGGTTTTGGTATCAGGGTAACTGTAGCTTCATAAAAGGAATTTGGCAATGACTCTTCTGATTCTATATTGTGCAATACATTAAGGAGTATAGGTATTAGTTCTTCTTGGAAGTTCTGGTAGAATTCTGCATTGAAACCATCTGGTCCTGGGCTTTTTTTCGAAGGGAGATTTTTGATAACCATTTCTAATTCTTCGCGAGAAACCGGTCTATTTAGATCATTCACCTGGTCTTGGTTTAGCTTTGGTATATGATACTTATTTAAAAAATTGTCCATTTCTTTTGTATTTTCCAGTTTTGTGGCATACAGGCTTTTGTAGTAAGATCTAATGATTCTCTGAATTTCCTCTGTGTCTGTGGTTATGTCCCCCTTTTCATTTCTGATCTTATTTATTTGCGTGTTCTCTCTCTGTCGTTTAATTAGTTTGGATAGGGGTTTGTCGATCTTGTTGATTTTCTCCAAGAACCAGCTTTTTGTTTCATTGATTCTTTGGACTGTTTTCTGTGTTTCTATTTTGTTGATTTCAGCCCTCAGTTTTATTATTTCCAGTCTTCTACTTCTCCTGGGTGCGTCTGCTTCTTTTTTTTCTAGAGCTTTCAGGTGTGTTTTTAAGTCCCCAATGTATGCATTCTCCGTTTTCTTTAAGTGGGCACTTAGTGCTATGAACTTTCCTCTTAGCACTGCTTTCATTGTGTCCCATAGGTTTGAGTATGTTGTCCCTTTATTTTCATTAAATTCAAGGAAGACTTTAATTTCTTTCTT